GCTTAATAGTCAGAAAAAGGTTTCGTTAAAATATTTATGCCGATTAGTGTAGGTTGTATGTTACAATATTATATATTATAATTATATTTGGCGCCCAACTTAGTTCCAGGAAGCAGCCATTCTGACTGGCCCCATCTGATAACTCTTTTCATTTGACAACAATACCTAACAAGACACAGTTTGATTGATTTCGTCACTACCCATTGTTCTGTTATTTGCAGTAAATTCTTTTTGGATCAGCTACATCTTTTAATTGGCGTAACTGCCAAGACTTATTATAGCAAACAACAACTGTGTTTTGTTAAGATTAACTGGATGCGTTTTAACTTAAATTGGTTATACTTAAGTTCGCGATCTACATTTACAAACCCATTTTATTCCATGTATGATTGTTTCTTAATGTGTTGCGGCCATCCCGCATACTTCTACACTGACCAAATATATCCTTCTGTTTACCTATGGAGTACGCGCCACTTCCTCATTAAGTCGTTACCTAGGCAACGGCTATGCCTTTCCTCCTTACTGAATTTGTGCATATGCCTTTTTGATCTCCTACTTGGTCACATAATATAATTGTAAACCGGATCTCAATCTAACCATTGCCTTTTGTTGAGAAAGGAAAGAAGATATTAGTAATTGCAGCAGTCAAGTGCGCTTGGTGTAGAGCTGATACTTCCCGCTTAATTATTAAATTTGAGTTTTCTCATTCCCATACTTTTTTCTTTAGACAAGTTGATCGGCTATAAAGCTGATGCAAATAGTTATCTTTTATGAAAACGACTAGATTTTTATGGAATATTGTTTTTTATTTTCGTTCTATTTATCGATTTTATATTTTTATTGCGAAAACCTAGCTTCTGCTTCGCTTAAAAAAGAACAGTTACCTTCCAACGATTGAGTTTTCTACGCAATTGGTAGCTACCAGTTTTGCGCACACATTCCATCGTGTGTGCTATAACACTAAAGTGGGCAAGAAAAATATTTTTCCTGTTCGCAAAACACAAACGCCTAGAGGAACGCGAAGTTAAGGACCTCCTCCAATTTCTATCAAACAACGCTACTATTCGGTATTGCTCATGATTAAGAAACTTATGTTAGAAGAACTTTCCATTGGCGTTATTGATTAATCTGAGAGTTCTTGGTATACTTCAGTGGTGCTCGTTTGTAAGCCAGACAAGGTTCGTCTCTATATCGATTGTAGAAAAGTTAACGAGGTTTCTCGAAAGGCTGCTTATCCACAAATAAATGAAATTCTTAGTCGTCTTCTCAAACCCGATTATATTAAAAGTCTCTACTTATTTGCCTATTTTCAAATACCCTTATAGCCTAGTTCTAGTGACAAAACAGCATTTACAGTACCAGATAGACCTCTTTACCAATATATGGTGATGCTATTTGGGATGTCTAACACCCGAATTGATGGATAGAATAATTCCTGATTATTTGAGAAACGAAGTGTTACAACCGTCATCTGGCCGTGTGAACTGCATTGGCTTGCAAAATAAAGGATGCCGGGTTAACTATTAACGTCGAAAAAAGCAAGTTTTGTCAAAAAGAAGTTAATTATTGATGGCTCTGGCGACCTTTCCATATTTCAATATTTATTTGTTGGCTGGCTCGAGGTCCGTGTTTGTTAAAACAAACAATGAAAACAATTTTATTTTAATTTTCTTCCGATATATTTCGGTTGCACATCGGCAAACCGTCTTCAGGGCACTAACACCAAGATACAAAAAACAATTAACAATTATAATACAATAAATTAAACATTATTTCGAACATTTTACATACATTATTTTACACGTCTGCGCTTTTTGACGTGGAGATTGTTACTGAGGTTGTTTGGCTGTTTAAGAGGTGTCTGTACAAGTGAGCGCAATTTTCTGTGTCTGTCTTGTAGTTTAGTCGTTTGTTGGTTGGTGTGTTAATTATGTGTAGCATTTCCAATGTGTGTCGCTTGTTATAGTGTTGTTCTTGTTGTAAGATTGTTGTTTCATCAAAATTTGGTGTGTGGTTGCTTTTTATACAATGGGTCATAAGTGCTGTTTTCTGTATATCATTTTGATGTCTTAGTTTGAAGTCCGATTTATGTTGACTAATCCTTGTTTTTAGCTTCGATTTTGTTGTACCTATGTAGACACTATTGCACTTGTTGTTGTTTTCCCCGCCACATGGTATTTGGTAAACGACGTTGCTTTTGTCGATCATCGGGATTTTCGACTTTATCTTGTTGAAGAATTTTTGTAATGTATTCGTCGGTTTGTGTGCTACTTTTATATCTTGTTTGTTATAACAGTCTGAGTTTGTGAGGCGTTCTGATAGTCGTGGTACATATATTAGTGATTTGTATATTTTAGCAGGTTCTGTTGGCTTTTTTCTTTCGATTTGTCGTCTTTTTAATAATGTTTTGATTATATTTGGGGGGAAGTCATTTTTGGTCAAGAGTTTTTTGATTTCATGTTCAATTTCTTTGTGGTATATTGTGTCCGATATTTTCATCATTCTATTCATACAGCCTAGTGCTGTATTGATTATCATACTCTTTGGGTGGTTTGAATTGAAGTTGAGTATTCGTCCGGAGGCTATGGGTTTCCTATACCACTTTATTTTGAGTGTGTTGTCCATTCTGCTTACAATAGAGTCTAAAAATGGTAATTTCCCGTCCTTTTCTAATTCCATTGTAAATTTTATCTGTTTGTGGAAGGAATTCAATTCTTTTAGAATATTTTCCACGTCTATTTTGTTCGTTATGGCAAAAAGGTCATCTACATATTTGGTCAAGAGTCTTGGTTTTATTTTTAATTTATCTGTAATCTTGTCCAACAGTTCCTCCATTAATATATCTGCGATTACTGGGGAAGCCGGTGATCCCATTGGCATTCCCTTAAGTTGTGTGTATATTTTGTCTTCGTATTTGAAATATCTGTTTTCCTGTATGCAAAATCTAACTATGTCCATAAATAGTTGTTTCGGTATATTCGTGTGCTCTTCTAATTTGGTCCATTTTTGTCTTATTGTGTCAAGTGCTAATTCTATTGGTATGCTGGGAAATAAGGATACTACGTCAAAAGATACTAATGTTTCCTCTTCTCTAATCTGGGAGTTGTTGACTCTGTCTTTAAAATCTACCGCGTTCTTGATGTTGTACCTAGAGTCCATTGTCCAACTAACACTGGTAAAATTAACTAAACTTAAATCTAGTTTAAAATTTTTGTTAAAATGTAGAAAATCAAATTTAATACCTAACTTTATCAAAAACTTGACACAGCATTTGACCATACTGACCACTGACAATAAAACCCACCCTGACATAACAAGAACATTGACTAGACACACACATTTTTACCATACCAAAATATTAAACTTACTTATAAAACACAAACACAACCTATTACAAGAACAAACAAAACATATGGAAAAAGCAAAAACAAACATAGAACAACTGATGACCACAGATGACGCAAAAGCGTTTTTTGAGAGCGAGAGAAATATAGAAAACAAAATAACAACAACACTCAAGAAAAGACAAGAAACGAAACACGGTAAGTTACGAGATCAACGGAACCTAGCCTTAGCGGACAACAACACTCAAAGAGAGTGGTTTGTAAACAAAAAAAAAATAGAATTCCCGCCAAACGTCGTAGCGTTACTCGCAAAAGGGCCGAAGTTCGCTCTCCCAATCAGCAAGAGAGATTTTCCTCTCTTGAAATACATCGCAGACGGTGAGGAGCTAGTGCAAACAATAAAAGAAAAGGAAACACAAGAGTCGGCGCGCACAAAATTCTCTTTGTTAGTCAAGAGCATAAAACCAAGAACAACCAAAACAGTAGGGATCGAGCAATACTGGACACAGTGGAACATACACGAAAATTACTGAAAGAAAATATAAATATTAAAATTCTATCGTCGGATAAGGGCAACAAAACCGTAGCAATGGATGAGGATGAATATAAAAATAAAATGACAAATATTTTAGACGACTTATGCGCGTATAGAACACTGAGACTGGATCCGACATCAAGACTACAGACAAAGAATAACACCTTCGTAGCACAATTATTCAAGATGGGTCTTATTTCAAAGGACGAAAGAAATAAGATGACTACAACAACAGCGGTACCTCCGAGGATATATGGACTACCAAAAATACACAAGGAAGGAACACCACTGAGACCAATATGTTCTTCCATCGGATCTCCATCTTACGGGCTGTGCAAATATATAATACAAATATTAAAAAATCTGACAATGGACTCTAGGTACAACATCAAGAACGCGGTAGATTTTAAAGACAGAGTCAACAACTCCCAGATTAGAGAAGAGGAAACATTAGTATCTTTTGACGTAGTATCCTTATTTCCCAGCATACCAATAGAATTAGCACTTGACACAATAAGACAAAAATGGACCAAATTAGAAGAGCACACGAATATACCGAAACAACTATTTATGGACATAGTTAGATTTTGCATACAGGAAAACAGATATTTCAAATACGAAGACAAAATATACACACAACTTAAGGGAATGCCAATGGGATCACCGGCTTCCCCAGTAATCGAGGATATATTAATGGAGGAACTGTTGGACAAGATTACAGATAAATTAAAAATAAAACCAAGACTCTTGACCAAATATGTAGATGACCTTTTTGCCATAACGAACAAAATAGACGTGGAAAATATTCTAAAAGAATTGAATTCCTTCCACAAACAGATAAAATTTACAATGGAATTAGAAAAGGACGGGAAATTACCATTTTTAGACTCTATTGTAAGCAGAATGGACAACACACTCAAAATAAAGTGGTATAGGAAACCCATAGCCTCCGGACGAATACTCAACTTCAATTCAAACCACCCAAAGAGTATGATAATCAATACAGCACTAGGCTGTATGAATAGAATGATGAAAATATCGGACACAATATACCACAAAGAAATTGAACATGAAATCAAAAAACTCTTGACCAAAAATGACTTCCCCCCAAATATAATCAAAACATTATTAAAAAGACGACAAATCGAAAGAAAAAAGCCAACAGAACCTGCTAAAATATACAAATCACTAATATATGTACCACGACTATCAGAACGCCTCACAAACTCAGACTGTTATAACAAACAAGATATAAAAGTAGCACACAAACCGACGAATACATTACAAAAATTCTTCAACAAGATAAAGTCGAAAATCCCGATGATCGACAAAAGCAACGTCGTTTACCAAATACCATGTGGCGGGGAAAACAACAACAAGTGCAATAGTGTCTACATAGGTACAACAAAATCGAAGCTAAAAACAAGGATTAGTCAACATAAATCGGACTTCAAACTAAGACATCAAAATAATATACAGAAAACAGCACTTATGACCCATTGTATAAAAAGCAACCACACACCAAATTTTGATGAAACAACAATCTTACAACAAGAACAACACTATAACAAGCGACACACATTGGAAATGCTACACATAATTAACACACCAACCAACAAACGACTAAACTACAAGACAGACACAGAAAATTGCGCTCACTTGTACAGACACCTCTTAAACAGCCAAACAACCTCAGTAACAATCTCCACGTCAAAAAGCGCAGACGTGTAAAATAATGTATGTAAAATGTTCGAAATAATGTTTAATTTATTGTATTATAATTGTTAATTGTTTTTTGTATCTTGGTGTTAGTGCCCTGAAGACGGTTTGCCGATGTGCAACCGAAATATATCGGAAGAAAATTAAAATAAAATTGTTTTCATTGTTTGTTTTAACAAACACGGACCTCGAGCCAGCCAACAAATAAATATTGAAGTAAATTATATTGGTCATGTCGTTGGTCAGGGCATAATTCGGATGAATGCTGATAAAATAACTGACAAGCAGCTAAAATTTCGGAGCATCTCGCTTAAACAATTGCGTCGCTTTCTCCGCATGGCTGGGTGGTACCACAAGTTCATTCGAAATGACGCTTCCATAGTTTCATCATTGACTGATGCCTTGACGACTCGACAAAAGTTTAAATGATCAGAAGCGGCAAAACAAGCTTTCCAGGCGCTTAAAACTGAAATGTGTAAAGCATACACCGAATTTTGAGGCTCCATATTTCATATTTCTTGATGCAAGTCACACTTGCTTTGGTGGTGTTCTCGTCCAAATGGATGATGCAGGTGACGAGGTCCCCGTAGCAATTATGTCCCGTAAGTTGAATAAGTGCCTATTTAATAATTCAGTTACGGAGAAAGAATGCCTAGCTGCAATTTTAAGTATCCGCAAGCTTTGAGCTTACGTGGACGGCCATCCATTTACTGAAGTTACTGACCACGCATCCCCTTAATAGCTCATGGGTCAAGCGGATCTGAGTAGTCATTTATCTCGATGGACTTTCAGGTTCCAAGGATATACATTTTCTTTTAACATAGGAAGGGCAGTAAAAATATGGTACCAGATGCTTTATCCCGTACTCTTACGGAGGGTTTATCGGCTCTAGATGTGGATGAATTTGTTGATATGCACTCTCTATATTTAAAATCCCAGGATTATGAATTGTAGAAGTGTAAAGTTTTACAGAATCAGACTTAAATACCGGATATCAAAGTTGTCGACAGCTTTATTTATCGAAGTTCCGAACATGCTTGAGGAGACAGAGTTGCCAATGACATGGTTGGGAAATTATGGATACCCAAATAATTGGTTCCCAATGCCTTTAATTTGGCTCACGATAATCTCTTAGACACTAGAGAGACTAAGAATATATGATTACTGGCCAAAACTAGTTTCGGACTTTAAAGAGTAATCAATAAATAATCGAATCGTGTTCTTAGACCACCTATGGGAAAAAGTGGAGCGACTCAGCGCTTCTTCCAAAAATTATATGTTGATTACTTTGGACCGTCTCCCCGTTCTAAGGCTGGTCATATTGACATATTTATTGTAACTCGATCATTTTACAAACTGACCGCGAATGCTATTTGACCCTTTTTGCAACAAGAGTTGTTTCACTGCTTCTGTTCATTCATAGTCTGTGATCAGAGTATGATTAAAAATGGGTAAACTTTCAATAAATGACCGGACTTGAATTTGCTAGAAGATCGAACAGTGCAATTTAATAGAGATGATTCCTTTGATTTAATTAGAAATCAGGCTGTCAAAGTTACTCGAAATCCGTATGATCGAAATAAAACTCATACAAGAAGTTTTTCGAAGAAAATTACAACAAAGCAACTTCTCTCAGGGTTTCACTGCTAAACTAGTTCCTACTTACTTTTATCAAGGCTCGAATATCACGTAAGCTTGGTGATAGTTACTATGAGTTGGAGAAACTGCAAGGGCAGTTCGTGGGAAAATATCTTGCGAAAAACATTATACAATAACCGAATGGTACAAAATATTCGGTCCTAGCGTGAATCGCTCTTTGGTGGTGTCTGGAAAAAAAACCCAACGTCCGATCTTAGCGGTGGTATTTATAGTGGCGTTTGTAGCAAGAAATATTTGTTTAAATTTGACAGCCGAAAAGTAGGCAATGTAAACCTGCTAATGTAGATGGGACAACAGGCGACAGCTCAAGCTTAACATACATATAATTTTGGAAAAATAAAGAACATTGACAAACTCTATTGGTAACCCTGACGTGATCTAGAAACGAAGTATGATCAAACATTATCTTTTGCTTTTACAAGTGTACATACACACAAACAAGCACGCTCGGCTAGACTGCGCCTTATTGGCGCGCTCAGCAAAAGGACGCAACTAACACAAAAAAATTGAGTATGCACAAGTCTCACAACAATTTATGATCATTAAAACCAAAAAAATGTGATATTTATAGAGGAGTCCAATAACGCCTGCAATATGTTTGGTGTTTTAGATCAGATTCGAGAACTGCAGCGGCAAATTGTTGCTCTGCAAATTGGTACGTCTTCATGACAAACTGAAATGGCGGGTGTTCCTATTGCGACCTTAAAACGCCCTGCAATTTATCTGCCAAAGCTTACCTGCAACATCTATATGGCATCAACAACGACAATGACCGTCAATTTAAGTGCTGATTATACACTATAATCTTAATACAAATTGGTCTTGTTTATTTGGCGCCAAACGGCATTAAATAAATTAGCCCACACCGAGAGTTCTTAATAGCTGTTCGCAGCAGAACGCCCTCTGAATAATATTATATGTGAATTACAATATATCTTTACTTCTCAAATTACGATATTGAAGTCACATACTATTATTTTTAAACTCATCATTAGTCTAGGTAGGTAGGTCTAGGTAGTTATTGTTAAAAAGTCCGAGAAGTAAATCACGCATTACAAGCAGTATAAAGCCTCCTTGGATTTTTATTAAAATTTATAAAACATAAAAGGGGCTCAAGTGGGGTGCAAACTAGCATCTCCTCAAAACAATAGCTTTGTCAAAGAAATTAACATCGCGAAACGTATTTACCGCGAGTTTCAGTCTCTTAAAAAAAAGTGATAAAAAACATTAACAATACAATATAGTTACCAAAAAACACTAAACAACAACAAAAACGAAATATAAAACCCAGCAATAGCTGAACAAATAAAAGGACAAAAATAAAAAATAATAAAACCCCAGCAATAGCTAAGCGAGCTAATCAACAAAACAAATCTGGACAAATGCATCGGCTACCAGACCTTGAGGGCCCAGCTACTTTAAGCAAACATGTAAGTGAGATGCTTATTATTCTTCTTCAATATTCAAAACGATAAAGAAATTTAAGACTTTACGAACATTTTAACAAAGCTGTCTTTGGTAAGAAAATCTATCAAAATTAAAAAACAAATAAAAAAAATTCCAGCTAAATAAATACTTATTTGTTTTACTTATGATTAAAACATTTAGCTTGATCACTAGGCTTTCTGATTCATTCATTAGCTTCTTATTATTAGCTTATTCCTACTTATAAAGAATACAGATCAGCAAACAAAATGAACAGTGAGAAGGTAGCACAGTTAGAAATGCAAACGAACCGAAAAACAAGCGCAAAGTTTGATCAACAGATAGCTATCCATAATAGCAATATCAGGGCTCAAAACAGCGCTTTTAGTCTCAAAAGCCACAGGGGCGTGGCCCCGAACCACGCCTTAGGCAGCCCACACAAGACTACAGAGGAAAACAAAATTATGGGGGCCAATCTATGAGGACCCAACAAAACCTTAACCATTTGCCCCAAGAAGAGGGTAACGAGGGTTACGAGTCGCATTCACAGCACGTAGCAGAGGCAGTCGAAGTTTACCTGTCAAGAACGGAAAGCTGTAATATTTTAGTGGAAGGTCCCTGCTCCCGTTTATAAGACGCACGGTTGCAGGGCGAACAATCAGACTCCTGATTACGTATATTACATAAAACCCCTTCCCGAGCCGGCGCATTGGAAGCCAGTCAATAGCCCATTCCAAGTCAAATCAATCCGCGGGCATACAAAAATTGAACAGCAATGACTCATTGACCTCTTCAGTGTAAAATCATACTTTTTCATGTTAGAATCATTAAAAGATTTCGATGGCATAATCAGCCTTGATCTGTTAAAACAGTTTAACGCTCAAAAAGATTTGACTAACAACATTATAAAACACAGAAAAAATTGAGTCTCCAACATGCAAACAAGTGAACCATTTCCAAATTAGTGACGCGGATGTTCCCGCCGCGGTCAGACCCACTTTCAATCATATGATTGACCGAATGGCTAACGCCTTCGCAGACATTAATCTCTGCCCTATAATATAAACACTATATCCCAAGTTAAACACATATCTAATGGGCGTGTCTGAATTTGTCAACGCAGAAGTAAAACAACTACTGGCGAATGGCATAATAAGACCCTCAGAGTCACCATATAACAACCCAATATGGGTCGTCGACAAAATAGGGTTGACAAGTTGGCCCACAAAAAAATCGACTGTTAATTGATTTTCGGAAATTAAAACAAGAAACGACCGACGATAAATACCCTATCCCAACAACTTCGGTTATATTGTTAAATATGGGTGAGGCCCAGTATTTCACAATACTGGACCTCAAATCGGGCTTCCACCAAGTAGAATTGGCGGAAAGGGACAGAGAAAAGACCGCATTCCCTATAAACAACGGGAAGTATGGGTTTTGCAGGCTCCCATTTGGATTAAAAAATGCCCCTAGCATCTTACAGAGGGCAATAGATGACGTCCTCAGGGACCAGATTGGGTAAACTTGTTACGTCTATGTAGATGAAGTAACAATTGCCTCCCCTAATAAGGCAGACCACATCAAGCACATTGAGTGGGTCTTGAAAAGCCTTAAGGACGCCGGCATGAGGATTTCCAAAGAAAAGTCCATATTCTTCAAAAAGAGTGTGGAATATTTGGGATTAACCGTATGCAAAGGTAGAACCCACCAATCGGCCGACAAAATTCAGGCCATAAAGGATTTCCAGCCACCAAAAACATTGTTTGCCTTAGATCACTTCTAGGGTTAGCAAGTTATAATGCTTTATGGCGGGATTAGCCAACATCGCAAGACCCCTAACAGAGATTTTGAGGCAAAATTGGAAAAATAAACGCGAACGGGAGGATGTGATGTTATCACATCCCGATTTTAAAAAGCCATTTGATCTAACGACCGACGCGTCAGGCCAAGTGCTCGGCAGTCACCCTATAACAATGATCTCAATGAGATAAGCTTTGCCACAAATGCACGAGAACTACTGGCCATTGTGTGGGCACTGAAAAATCTCAGAAATTACTGGTGT